GTTTCCCCTATCCCCCCCAAAATAGATACTTCTCTGCGCATTCCCAAAGACATTCTTAATTTGAGTGTGCCAAGACCAGAAGAGTAAAAAACTACCCTTCAGTATTTAAAACATGTCACCTGCTCAATAGCATTCCCCTTAATCATCTATCTACGCTTAGACCTTCCAGTAAGCACAGTGCTTTTGGACTTGCTATAGTTAAAGAGAACCCACAGTAGCTAAACTCACAACAGCTCCTTGACCACTCAAAGGCTAGATATGCATACCGACACATCAATTGCTTGAAATGGGAGCAGATTGTATCACTCAAAATGTAAGGTTCAAAATTGCCAGTCAGCTATGTGCTGGAGTCAGCTGGGAGCTGGCAATCCTCTCGCTTTGAGTGGTGCTGTCCCCACACATCTCAAGCATCTGTTTGCAGATGACTCCCCTTTCATTGAACTATGAAGGGGATAATAACATGGTAGCAGTGGTGAACAGTGGTGGTAGCATTCGATTCACTACTATACATGTCATTCCTTTTGGTTGTGCAGCTATGTTCATCAAGTGATTGCAGAGTACACCATGAATCTTTAATGAAAATTATATCTCATGTCTCCTATGCAATAACAGACAATAAATAATGTTATGCAAATACTTTCCAAACCTTTCCAGTTTTCATAAGGGCAGTATTCTCATTAGGGTTGCCAGGTCTTACTGGTCTTCCAGTGGGGGCTTCTGGGTGCATCCTGGGATCTTCTGGCACTGTGCAATGATGTCACCTGGAAGTGACATCATCATGTTGGGCATGTCACAAAGCGACGCTCTACCATATAGGTCAATGCAAGAGCACTACCATGTGGCATGCCCGGCATGATGATGTCATCACACCAATTACGTCAATGCGGGAGGGGGTTCGGTGTGGGGCTTTCCCCACCAGCTAGCTGGCTGGTGGCAGACTGGAGCCCCCAAAATTGGCGGAAACCCCATCCTGACCAGCGGTCTGGCAACCCTTATTCTCATTTTTGCACCCGATCAACCAGCAGTAGCACACAATACGTTTAGCTCATTAAAAAGCCACACTCGAATCACCTTTTAACTTCTCTTTTTTGCAATATAAACTAGGAATTTCATTTTAACAGCTGCTAATAATATTACACCATGGGGGGGTGTTGTTAACAGTGCCAGGTGAATGAATCTGATTGGAGCATCTGAACAGGTCATGCTCAAGAGTAAACATTTTTATCAAACTATCCACTACAGCCTTAAGATCCCTTTCAGTGTGGATCTCATTCAGTTCACACCCCATCAGCATGTATTTAAACTTAGGATTTTTGTTTTGTTCCAGTGTGCATCACCTTACACCAACATCGAGCTTTATTTGCCATATTGTTGACCACTCACATAGTTTAGAAAGATACTCCTGTAGCTCTGCTTGGTTTGACCATTCCTAAATAGCTGGGTTATTCATCCACAACCTTGGCCACTACACTGCTCAACAAATTCTTAAAATGTTTACGTATTCCATAACAGCACAAGAGAATTAAAAAATTACTGTACAAGATCCATTCACCTACCAAATTTGCCACCCTTGAGAGAAAATTCTAAGCAATTGTGAGGACCTCAAATGTGATTGGCACCAATTTCCTTCTCACTGCTTCTGGGCCTTTACTGATTTCAGGGCAAGCAGAAATTTAGCATAGACAGCTCTCACCATCACTTCATGATGCATGCATTTTCTGGACTTGCAGCTGTTACAAGGCAAAGAGCCTCTCTTAGGAAAACAAAACGCTCTTACCTCTAAATGAGCTAGGAGGTTAGCAGTCTTGATTTCATTGAAATCTCAGTTGGCTTGAAAGCATTTGAGTTTTCTGCTTGGGCACATGTGTTTACTGGGGGGGGACAACCAGAGGTCATTTTGGGGGGATCGCAGTTCCCCCGGGTGAGGTACGGGGCGGGGCACATGACGAAGCCCCGCTCCTTGCTTCCGGCCGCCCCGCTTCCGGCCCTCATTCAGCCAGGAGGAGGCAGGAGAAGAGGGAGGGTAAGTTGCTTCCTCCCTGCCTCTCCCCACCCCTGCCTGCCTGGGGCCAGGGAGGGCCTTCACGGGGCTTCCTTGCACTCCCGCGGGCCTTGCAAGTCCACTGCCAGGCCCCTCATGGGGCTCGGCAGTGGAGCTGCAAGGCCACCGGCGGCGGCCAGGACTGTTGGGGGTGGGGTATGTGGCCTTATGACACACTTCCGGTGATGTCAGGGGGTGTGGCCTTATGACACACTACTGTTGATGTCAGGGGGTGTGGCATATGCTAATGAGTTATGCTAATGAGTTCCCCTAGCTCTTTTTCTATGAAACGACCCCTGGGGACAACTACCTCTTATCTGTTCCTTTTGTAAACTCCTGCTGGCTTTAAATTAAGATAAAGAGGGGCACATTCAAATTATAATGGAGAATTTATTTATAGACTATCAGTCGAAGGGCCATAATGCTGCCCTTTATCATTGCTTGTCATAGCATTGACAACCCTTGGATAATTCTTTATTTGTCTGTTTCTGTGCCAACTTATACCCTGACAGATGCCTGGCATGTATCAGTTGTATGATTTATTACCTCATTTAATAAACAATGTGAAGAAAAGAATGAAATATTTTCTTTTAAAATTACAAATTCGGCACCTTCTTTCCATTTTTACTGAAAATAGCTCTGACTTCTGCATTTCAGCTGTGTCATTTATTGCAGAAGACAAAAAAAATTAAATACGGTCTGATTTCCCCCCCCCCTTCTCTCCAGTCTGTCCTAGGAAGCAACATTTATGCAATATTCCAGCATATAAATGAAACCATCGTCATTGAATATTGTATTGTATTGTCATGGCAAGCTTCCCTGAATGGATTCCACTGATAATAAATAGCCTAGATGTGTCATCTTCCAAAGATTTAATGGTCCTTTCATTTCAGCTGGATTTCTTTTTTCCACATGGCAATGTAGCTTCTCCAGAAAATTTGTCCAGACATCACATTTCCCTCCTTGATATTAGAGGATGATGACTTATTTCAACTCTAAATTTTACCACCTTGGAGTGTATTACTCTGTGGTGAATGGCAGATGGAATATTGTCATGTGAACTGCTTTCAGGATATATACACTTTTTTTTACACGTCAAGCCTTTATTGGCATATACATGTAGATACAATAATCTAAATACAAAATCCGTGCAGAGTAAAATTAGAGTTGCAGAATAAATAAGCAGAGTAACAGCATAATAAAACCTAATTCATAGTGTCACTTATCACGATGTGTGACCATGGCACTGCAAAGAAACTTTGCTACTATTTCAGTTATTTCTGTATCTGGCTTATCAAGCAAAAAAAGGACCTTAAAATCATCAGAGGTCTCTAAAAGTTGGGCTAATATGGGATATAGAAGATCCCGACGGAACGCCAGATAGAGAGGGCACTGGAGAAGAACATTGGTGACAGTTTCAGCACAGTCCTTCATACAAGGAGGATACATAAACTAGTGTAACAATTTGTCATTCTCTATTCCTCAGGAATCCTGGCAATTCTAAATATATATGTATATTGGGGGGGGGGGTGTTTGGTACCTGTCACAAAGAATTATCAGCATAACACCAAAGGATTAATGTAGGATAATTGGGGAAAATCCATAATAGTTAACTATAGTAGCAGAAAACCAATAAAAGTTGCCATGTAGTTACTACCAAGTTTAAACAATTATTCATATCAAAAATGAACATTCTTAATAGGGGGAAATTGCAGAAGGTAATTGAGATGTGTATTGTTTTAGTTTAATTATATTTTTAACCCAGCCTAACCAAAAAGTTTGGGACAGCTTGTAGCAATTATATCAAAGTCATGGCTATCACTATGCTCAAAACATGTGCAGTTTTACAACTAGATTACCAAAGATGTGCATACAAAAAGCATTTTCAGCTATCATATATGATGCCCCTTGATTAAAACTCGGCCTGTCATCTGTATTCCTTGCAGCTTGCCTTCCTCACCCTCAGGGTCCCATTTTGATTTGATTTAAGAGTCCCCTATTAAATATGCCATTCCTGTACCTTGAACTAGGGGATGTAGAGAGTAGTTCTCTGTGGTTGTTCTGCAGCAACAGAATTCCTTTCTTCCCAAAGCCCACTAAGACTCAGATCTGAGCATCTTCTGGTAGGCATGTAGACCCTTTTTGTTACAATGATCTTTTGGTGACTGGAAGTACCTTAGGGTTTATTTTAGAAATACATAGAGAGAGGATGAATGTGCTAGACGGAAACCCTTAATCAAAGGCAATGTTTTTCCTTGTTTAGAAATACTCAATAAAGTTGTGGAAACAGCAGACCTACAGGCAGACGTACAATTCTGTTGTGTCTTTTTTAAAAAAAAAAGGCTCCCAAGGTCCTGTCTCCTGTTACAAACACAGGGGATTGAACAAGACAAAATTTCGCTTACTTTCATTAGCAAAGCCTTAACAACTGTTCATTTGCTGCAAGCTGGTGGCCAGTTGCTGATGTTGCTCTAAAGTTGATTCCCAATTGCCCCTACTTGTCAAAGCCCTTCAGTTATGCTGACTTCACACTTCTTCTTTAAAAAAAAATGTTTTCTATGCATCTTTTGGATAATTAATAGGAGAAGAAAGCCCACTTGGAAAGGGCATCATTTACAAAACCATATGCCAGAATGTTCGTCTGGCCTTGGGCAGCAGGAACCAGAGGGTTCCTGCATTCATTTTGGCTGTGATTATATGGTAGATGGAAGTTTGCCAACAGTGAATGTGCTGTGAAAAGGTCTAAAATGTCAGTAGCTTGCTCTGTGTGTTTAAACAAAGAACATTTGCAATTTATGAAGCGTCTCGGAACAGGCTTGCAAATAATGAGGAACTCGGAACAAGCTAGACCGTAAAAGGCTGCTGAATGCAATAGCACCCGATAGATGATTTGTCATGTTGTATGTTCCTGGGTCAGCTTTTCACAGCTTGTGTTTCCATGTTCCCCTTATTTTTATAGAACACTTGAAGGAGAGGCTGGAGGAATATATGGCTCGGTTTGTTAAAGTGAGAATTGTGCGTACCAAGAAACGAGAAGGGCTCATTCGCACCAGACTACTTGGAGCCTCAATAGCTAAAGGAGAAGTCTTGACCTTCCTGGACTCTCACTGTGAAGTCAATGTGAACTGGCTGCCTCCCTTACTTAGTAAGTGACATTAAAACTTGCAATATAACAATATTTGCTATGTTAGAAGATGTGATCCGCTTTCAAGAACCAATTAAATGTACTATATCAAAGTGAGGACCCAGAGGGACCCAGCAACAGAATTATGTCTTTGAATCTTTGATTGTAAGTCATTTGAATTTTTAGCCTGAAAGTAAAACTTCCTATACTACAATATAAGCATAGTTACCAGGCGGTACATCAGTGGGATTAAATGTGTTTAGGATTCAGCAGTGAGAGTTTGAATGACCCATGGGTGGCTCTTCTTGAACCTTCATTAATCTAAAATATTTGGGTCAGTTCAGAGATAATTTGCTGATATTTTTCATAGAGATGCTTGAACACTTGCCAGTTCAAGTCACTTCCCATTCTCCAGTGGTGATCAAGCAGCCAGTTAATCCACTGGCTGTCTGACTGTTCACAACCCGTTTGTGTGTATTTGCAGGCTAAAGCTACTTACAGCCATCAGAAGTTGATTCACAACTGACAAGTGATCTGCTGTGAGACAGCTTCTGGGGACGTTTTGCAGCAAAGGGGATCAGGAGATGACTCCGAGCTGATAGGCAGAAAGTCGGGTTTTGATCTCTCATCCTAGAAACTTTGCTGCCTCCCAGACTTGCTGAGTGCAGCAAATTGAAGTGTGGGGGGGAGGAATAATCAAAAGGCCAGGTAATTTCCCTCCTCTTCCCCCCCCCCCCCAAGCTTGGGCTGCAGAGAAAAGGAGAGGTTTTTTCCTTCTCTACCTTTTGCAATGCAGAGATTAAAAGCATTCCATCTGTCCCTGCCCAGCTTGTAAGGGAGGGGAAAATTTCCTTTTGCAATTTCACGGTGTAGCTATTTTTCTGAGGAAGCGGAGTGGGTAAGGACTCAATTCCCAGATGATCCCTCCAATTAGTGCAGAGCTTTTTTTTTTGTTTTAAGAGGTGCTGGAACTCTCAAGAGGGAAACAAAGTTTTCAATCTGTATACTGAAAACTCATGAACTTTTAAACATTTTTAAAAGAATTTTGTGAAAGAGGTTCCAGAACTCCATTCCAGTCCATTCCTCCAGGGGAAAAAGCCCTGGCTGTGAGACAGCTGCAAACGTCTTTGGCAACTTGTTCAAGTTCCTCGATGCAACCCGACTATATCCCTGATCAGCTCACAGTCTGATCGGGAGTGTCAAACAAAGTAAATTCATCTGCTAGACAGGTTCAGTAAGAAATGTGCAGGATTCCTAATCTTCTAGTAAAAATGGGAAAACGTGAATGTTCTTTACTTAAATTCAATCTAGTTCAATTCTTTTAATAGTCTACTCTGTCCCTAGAGCTCAGAACAAAGCACAGCTACCAAGGAAGATAAGAATTACACAATTGAATGATTCTGATATATTTTCTAACATCATTAAAATCTGTTCTAAAATTCTGGTTTTGTCTTAATCTCATGGGTACAATACTGAGAAAGCTGGAGGGGGGAAAACATATGGAATTGTTCATATGAAGAAATTGTTCCTCTTTTAGATCTTCCACATTCAATTGCCTTGATCTTTGTGCCACGTATAGCCCAGGCCTTGGAGTTAAAGCCAGTAGCCATTGTGTTCAGAATAGCATACTCAGGAAGCATGATTCGCTATTGACCGCTGCACTGGATTCCAAGCAAGAAATAGCAAAACTCCATTACTCATAGGCACAATGCAGTGAAACAAAAGCTGGATTCCTGTATGTTCTGAATAGCACTCATCAAGACTCTGGAAAAGGCAGAGCCATTACAGCATTAGGCCACTAGTCAAAAGCAGAAGAACAAATAAGCAGTTGTACCTATTGGGGGCGTCAAAGTATGAAACGATGGCTTTCCCTTTTCCTCACACATTTGACTATTCTCCATTTTTTAAATCAACACTTTATATTTCTCCTGGCCAGTGTTCCCTCTAAGCTGAGTTAGTGTGAGCTAGCTCACAGTTTTTTAGCCTCTGGCTCACACATTTTTGTCTTAGCTCAGGAAGGATGGCTCCAGAGCAAGCTAATTTATACAGTAGCCAAATCACTCGCTCAGAACTTTAATGCCAGTAGCTCACAAAGTAGAATTTTTGCTCACAAGACTCCACAGTTTAGAGGGAGCATTGCTCCTGGCCCCTCTGGTTATTCTCCACACTGTGTTTTTGAGGCATCTATCAAGCCAGGGAGGCCTCCTTGAATCATTAACAAATACAGTGTCAGAGCCAAGGATTATGACAGAGAGAATAAAAACAGCAGAGCATCAACCATGCAAATTCAAGGATAAAACCAAGAGATTATTTGTTTAATTTTACTAAAGAGCTTTCTCTTCTCTTTTAAAAGCATGTAACTATAAAAAAAGTTTGTAATCATCCAATGTAAAAGTCATGTTACAAAGAGGTTGTCCTATATGAGGTTAAAGTTATCTATTTTTGAGTCAGCCAGTTGTGTCTCTCTCATTTGTCCTTTTTATGCTTTACTAGAAATAAGGCTCATTGTGGAAATAAATACAACGAGCTCTAGAAAGAGGCTCTTGGAGAGTGCCAAGACCTTGGGCACTCAGTGTCAATGTGCCGTGGCGGCCTCAGCAGGGTATAATGACACAGAGTCCACCATTTTCTCCAGAGGAACTGACCTCTGCTACTTGAAGAGCAGTTGTAATTTTCAGTTAACTCCAGCCCTCACCTGGAGATTGGCAACAATTGGTACCCAGGAGGAAATGGCTGGTTTGGAGGGTGGAGTCTATGGCATTGTACCTGTCTGAGGTCCCACCCCTCCTCAAACCTCACCCTCTCCAGGCTCCACCCCCCCAAATCTCCATGAATTTCCCAACCTGGAGTTGGCAACCCTATCTCCTTCCCAGCCAAGCATCAACCTGCCATTATCTGCCTCTCTGATTTCAGCTTTGC